ATTGTTTTAGGCCATTCTTGTCCTTAAAGACTGCCCACCTGTGTCTATGCAAGCATCTCAAATTAAAAAAAAAAAAAATTACTATTTTAAAATAAATTAGGAACAATATAATTATCCTCAGAAATTAATGATTTATGGATCTTTTTTTCTTAGTAAGAAAGACTTTACTTTTTAAGTGAGATTTTAAAAAAGTAAACTGAATTTAAAAAAGTAGTATGCACATGATTATATATATGGTATGCAGATATGGCAAATTATGAATATGATTTATGAAGGACTGGCATCTTCATAAAATCAAGAAGAGGTAAGATTAGAGCAGCAGACCAGACACTTAAATTTCAAAGATCTGTAAAACGTGAACAAATTTGCTATTGATTAACACAGAGTTGCTGACTTTTTATTGTGCTAAGGACATTAAGAACATAAAATCGAAACCCATGTACCCATCACCATCACTTAATAAAAAGTGTTTTGTAAGTATAAAAGTACATGGACAGGGCCCTCCCTTGTGGTGCAGCGGGTTAAAGCACAGCACAGAGAAGCCACTTCCGCATGAGTTCGATCCCCGCCTGCCCCAGAGGAGATCCACATGGCATGGCAGACCTCTCGCTGCTCCCCTCAGCAGTGTACTTCGTCAATCTGCCTGTTCTGCTCCCCACTATGTCTCTGGTGAATCCTCTCACCCTCCCTGGCCTGTACCCCAGTTCTGTACGAATGAATAAATAAATAAATCTTAAAAAAAAAAAAAAAGTACATGGACAATGAAAAAATTTCATATTGCACAGGGTATAAAACATCTTTTTCTTTATTTTCTCCCTCTCTATAAATCCATCATGGACATTCTTTCATACAGCTCTACCTCATTTTTAGAAAGACACTTTCAACAAATATATTACTAAATATATTAACATGTACATATTATATTTTATTATTATTATTATTATATGTAGTATGTCACATTAATTCTATATCAAAAAAATAAGAAATGTACAATCAGAATAAAAAACAGACTCCCAGGAAAAGATAGGGGGCAGTCATAATTAGTCATTTGGGAACTACTAGTTTAGTTGACTTTCAGCTATAAAATTTCATGATTAGTCTAGAATATCTTCAGCATGTACATGCCTGTATGTTTACTAACCTGTCTATTTCAAAAGACAACTAGTAACATCTTCTTGGGTAGAACCAGGGATTGCAAAATGCTTTTCCAGTCCTTTCAGCTGTCCGCTGCATGAGTATGTATCTGCACACTATCAATCATTCTCATTGGTTCTCTATGTCAGCATTTTACTCTGGGGTCTGTAGACTTTAGGGTATTCATAACATCATGAAAACATATGTGTATATGCTTTTTTTCCTGGGGGAAGTTTATAACTTTCTATTATCTAAAAATGGGTTAGAAAGTACTGTTTTGGGTAAATTTCTTGCTTTTACTTCAAATAAATAATCTTAGTACTGACTTGGGACTCCCTTACAGTGTTTTTCTTTTTTGGCTGGGGGAAAGCATCTAATTTCTGATTTGGAATTTTACAGTTACATGCCTGAGTCCCCTGTCTGCTAATGATATCACCAAAAAATGAAAAACATTCCTCTTAGCCAATTAGTCAAATGGTACTTTACTATTTTATTTTCATTTTTTGAAGTATGGAAAGATAGAGAAAGGTAGGGAGTGCTACCCACATTAAAACTGACTGGTAGAGAGACAAGCAGCTAGAAACAGTGAGACATACATACACAGATAAAATGCCTAAGAAAAGAGAACAGACAAGTAAAGAAATGTAGAGGAACCTAGGAGCACAGGAGAGACCAGAACAGAGCAGACAGAGAAGGAAGGCAGAAAAACAGGCTGGCAAGGAGAGAAAGAATGAGAGAGGCAAGCAGACAGACATACAGAAGGGGGTAGAGAGTGAAAAAAGAAGCAAGAAAACAGTAAGGAAAGATAGGAGACAAAGTGATAGTAGTGTTTTATACCATACAGTGCTTTATAATTTATAAAGTGGTATCAAATACATTATAGCAGGCAGACAGGGAGAATCCAGCAGACAGATGGGGTGATGGAAGGATACAGGCCAATCAGACAGAAGAGAGGGAAGATGGCCAATCAGAAAGAGAGCTAGAATGGAGCCCAAGACAGACAGTAAGGAGGAAAGACAGAACCAAGAAAAGTGAGGGGGGGAGGGGATGGAGACACAGGATAGAGGTTATATTTAGGAATAAAGGCAATAAAAAAAAAAGCAGAAATGAAAGAACAGTGTATTGTGTATCAAAGTTTTGTACTTCTGAACAGACCTGGATAGCAGCTGTGTCTTTGTTTCCTCCAAGATGTTATAATATCTCTAAGGTGGCATGTGAAAAAGAGCCAGAAGGAAGAATGGAAAGGGAGAAAATTTTTAGTAAGTAGCAAAGTTTTTTAGATTAAGAAGAAGACAAATTCTTGGGTACCACTGAACTTAAATCTAGATTCATATGTAAGACTTCACATAGACTCTAGGAAAACAGAGCAAGCCTCTGTGCTATGTGCATGTAAATGTTATCTGCTCTTATTAATTTACGTGGTATTTTTCTGTACTACCCAGGGCATTCATCTTTTCTCAATTAATACAGAGTTCAGTGATGAGGATACCAGCAAAGGTGTGTACCATGACATCTTATTATACAGAGTAGAATAGGAGTTTAGGACAAATAAGCTCATCCTAAGTGCTCCTCCTATACTGGTAGTAACAGTATGCAGCTAGTAACCAGTCAACTGAAAAGACAAGTGCTATAAAGTGGAATCAAAAAGAGAAGAGGCAAGAGATAGCAAACCCAGTGGTGTAGGAAGGAGAACTGATAGATTTACAAAGGAAGAGAAGCATTGAGCGGAACCGGGAGAGAGAGAGAAAGAATGCAGCAAAAAGTAGACTAATATATGTGTGTAGACTCTTTTCTGGAACGATACCCAAGAAATGCAAAGTAGAAGCTGCTTCTGAGGCATGGAACTGGGGGACTGGAAGAGAGGTTACAGGAGGGAGGCTTGCTCACATTCACAGGATAATTTTTGTACTCTAAAAATTTGGTATCATGTGTTTATACGATTTGTTTTAAAGTTGATTGAAAAAAAGAAAAGCAAGCAGACATGTGGACAGCAAGAGCCAGGCAGAGAGCAAAACGTCAGAACAAAGAGACTGTAAAAATGGCAGAAGGACTGGGCAGGCTGACTGACTGAGGAACCAAGAAAGACAAAAAGAAAAAAGACAACTGAAATGAAAGCAGTGAGAGATGGCAGGGGAAGGGAGTATGGCAAGAAGCAGACAAGATTTTGGGGGCTGGAGGGGCCACTGACAGATTTCAGTTAGAGATCACCACCACTGATGGGATGTTAATATAAAGGAAACCAAAAGAGAAAAGTCTGGGAAGTAACAGATTAAAAAGATAAAGAAAAAAGGGGAGGAAGTAGCAGCAAGTAGACAGGTAAGATAGGCATAAAAGGAGGCAAGGAAAAATCATGAACTTCACAGGCATAAGAAAGAGGAGGGAAAAGTAGGAGGGCAAGAAAAAAGGCAAACCAAGATAGAGAACCATGGCAGGGCCTGGAAGGGAGACAAACCCAAGGATGAAGGCTAAAAAAGTGATAGAGACAGGCAGGCGGGGAGACAGATGGTAGAGAGAGTGGTGGGCAAACAGCCAGAGAAACAGACAGACAACCAGAGAGAGAGAGAGAGGCTGCCAGCCAGTCAGAGAGGAGCAGGCAGGCAGGCAGACACCATAATACGAGCAAGCAGGTAGAGAGGCAAGCAGAAACAAGGATAGAGGAAGAAAAATCAAGAGGTCAGTAGGGAGGAAAAAGAACAGCAGATGTAGACAGGCAGAAGGGGCGATGGATAAAAGAGAGAGTCAGGTAAATTAGCAGATCCATGTGCTCCGCACTCTTGAGAGTGATGAATGTCTGTTGGGGATGCATAGTCACCTTTAGCCACCCACACCTGCAGCTCATGGTACACGTGGCAGGCAGGCAGGCAGGCAGGCACTCAGCCCAGAGGGAAAGGACAGAGAGGCAGAGACTGCTAGTACATGATATCTCCAGGGTTGCCTGCACGCACCTGGGGACTCTCTTCCCAGACACACACCAAAGGGATAGAAAGGGGGGGGGGGCGGGAGTCAGGCACACAAGAGGAGGCAGCACATACCGCTAGAGCCTGAAGACAGACGTGAACAGAAGACAGAGATGGAAAGTCACTTAAAGGTGATAAAGCCTGAGAACCAAAGGGGAGAGTGTCTCAGTGAAAAATAAAAGATGCAGACAGAGAAGGCCATATAAAGAAAGGGGGTGATAACTAGCCTAGTGGAGAGAGCCAAAAGGGGGCAGAACATAATGGAACAGAAAAAGGATAAGAGTTAGACTCAATACAGAAATACATGGAGACAGTGGCAAGGGAGTTCCAAAAGCCAGGTTAAGAAAAAAGATGGAAATCGATGTTCAATAAAGTGCATTTAGTCTATGTGTATGGGGGCTGGGGGCTGGAACATCAAGAAAGAACCTTTTCTCAGCCTAAGCAAAAAATTGCACAGTATTCCCTGCCACTAATAGTTTCTGGTTACTGCCTACCTACACATCCTTCTTAAAGAATTCCTGAACACTACTGAGGCTGGGGGATGATGGCTGGCAGCTATACTTAAAAGGCAGAGAAACAACCCAGGAGACAAATGCTTCCAGAAGCACAGGATGGGAACCATGAGAAGGGGCAAAATGACACCAAACGAACTGGAGGAAACAAGAAAAAAAGGTTGGCAAGAATGAAAAGATACAGTAGAGCTAAGCTATTCACCTTCCTTCTTTGAAAGCATCACTCACTAGCAAGTTTTATTTTATGATTTCTCTGATCAAATATCTTGATGAGAAAGCTACTTTTGGATTCCTTTTCAAACTTCCATCTGATTCCTGGTACTACTTGGAAGATTAACGCTGGGGTACAGTCAGGAATTATGGGCCAGAAAGATGAAAATGCCAGTGTACCCCCTACCTCTTTCTTTTTCTCACGTCCAGTTACTTTTCTCTTTCACCGTACCTCAGTTTCTTCCACTTTATCAGTGTTGGCAACCATGGAGAAGAGAAATATACTGAAATAGAGGAAAGAGAAAATAATTTCACAATCTTCAGAGTTGACTCTTCCCCCTTTCGTCTAAAAATCTGCCCTATTTATCCCTAAATTAATTTCTTAAGTCAGATGAGTTTTATATTCAAGCAAATGGAGGAGGGGCAGGTGAGGAAAAGAAGCAGAGTGAAGATAAAATTTACAACAATTATAAATCACTGAAAAGGCTGGGCAAAGGGGAGAATCAAACATGGACTCCTTTGAAAAAAACTCAATCATCGTATCTATTCATATCTCTCCCCCAAAAGTCACTAGGATTTCTATCACTTTTTTAAAGAAAGAAGAAAAAAAATCCAGTACCGCTTTTTACTTAAAAGATATGTACACAATTAAATGCGGTTTGACTTCAATGAGATATGCAGAAACAGAGTTATATATAAACATATATTTCATCTTTTTCCTTTTCAATGCCTGAAGGGGAAAAAAAAACCTTCACATCAAACCACTCCCTTCTGAAGTATTCAGAAAAAAAAAAAAAAGCTTTTCTTTAAGAGAAGGGAGGTGGGGAGAAAGAGACTAGTAAAGAAAAGGAAAAAAATTAAATCTAGTTGGACTAGTATCTAACTAGTTAACCTTTAACAATTTATGCTGATGTCAGACTGAGCATGAGTACTGATTAATGCCCCCCCTCAAATATTTTTTATAAGGGGGGGAGTTAGTCACAGCAGCCATTTTTGTTTTATGCAGAAATCCTTCATGCCCCCCCAACGCGCGCGCACACACACACTCACACACTCTCAGTACACAAGGAAAATATCTCTATTAATCTGTGCACTAATCAGTTATGAAAAAAAGGAAAAATTTGTGGGTTTCTGGGTAGAGGCTTGGGATGGGGGTATAACAGGGAGGAGAATGGGGGGGGTGAAAAATGAAATATTAAGCCAGCCATTTTGTTTTAAAAGGGGATTTTTCCCCCCTCTCCCTTTCTTCATGGAGGGGGTGGCGATGCTGGAGGGGGGGTTGTTTTAAAAATAATTTCAAGGCGGCCATCTTAGTGCCTCAGCTCTGAGAAATATTTCTGAGCGCCCCCCTCAGAATTTAAATATATTTAAAGCAATGGAGAGGGGGGTAGAGAGAAGTCGAAAACTTTTATATATATATATTTTTTAATCCCCCTTTCTTGTTCTCTTGGGAGGAAGGAGAGAGGGGGGAAAGTCAATTTTTTCTAAGAAAATATTTGGGGGTGGTTTGGCCCCCCTCCTCAGACGGCGGCCCCGAGGGTGGGGGTTTTGGAGGGGGGTGGCCCGGGGGTTTTGGGGGCTGGGGGAGGCGG